CCCCCCCACCCCCACCCAACAAAACACACACCCACCAAAAAAAACTCCAAAAAAAAAAAAAAATTATTTTACTTAAAGTTCACATGGTGTGAAAATTTTTATCATAAAATATAGAGTCCATCCTAGGAGACAAACAAACACATTGCTTCTTATTGTTGTTAACATAACTAGATAGAAACTACAAACTGCATAATTGATTATTTAAACAGCCTGATGGTTCATGGCATTATTGAATTGTTGATCATGTTATAACGATTAAAAATGCTTCAATGAAGTAGAATGAGATAGAACCGGGATTCTATCCTAGTAACGACTTGGACAAACCAGATTCAAATTCACTCCCTCACTATATATATTTAAAAAAAAAAGTCGAATTATTTGAGAAATACATTGCTATTCAAAACTAATGTCATCACAATGTGTTCACTATGGGTGGACCTCAGCAAATGATCTAGATACAGGGCAGATGAGATAAGAGTGGTTTCTATGTTATTCCAACCTATCTGTCTCTTTCTTCCAGAGCACTAATCTTAACAAGTTCTTCTTTTAGCATATACTGTGGCTTACCTCATTTGATTGATCCAATTGTTACAAGTCAAACGCTAAAAACAAATTGCTTTTTACTTTATTAATTTGGTCAATCACCTGAGGTTTACATCTCTGACTATTTGAAAGAGAGGATCTAGAAACCAATAGTACAATCACCACCACTAAAACCTGCACTAGCCTTCATATTTTTTTGTGCAATTTTTATTGGGATTTCACCAATAGTTATAATTCTTTCTCTTAATCTATTTCGATTCATTTACAATTATGTATAATCGGATTAGTACCATGAATAAACCGGTTTTAACTATGTTCATCTCGTATTTAATCGGAATTATATCGCCCCACATGTTTGACGAATCTAACTGGTTGTTTCGTTTATCCCCGAAACAGTTACTAAGTCTAAATTTATGAACTCTTTGCCAAACTTGGATTAGATGGATAAGTCGTATCCAGAATTATCAAACCAGATACACCAATCACTTCTATCATTTCTACAACATTCAGAATTCAATTAACTCCTCAAATTTAAAGTCAACTTGGCATCATATTCTGGAAAACTCCCACTTATATCATTGTCACAAAAGGATCCACTACCACTGAAACTAATGCACAGCAGAGAAGTAGAGAAAAAACAAACATAATTTTTTTTTTCTTTTTGAAAACAAGAAAGAAAAGTTCATGACAGCATAAAGATACTGTGCATGAAAGCAGAGATCCCACCAAAAACAAACAAGTAGAAATAAACATTTGACTTTTAGCCTGTTCCACAAATTATATTATATATATGTGTGTGTGTATAATACGATGTTGACTTCAACAATATGGCCAGTCTAGATATCTGGTGTGCTGATCCTGAATAGTGTAACCCTCTAGAAGAGGCCAAACCTCCCTTCACCAGTTTTTGGCTTGGGGTGGGTGGGTGGGTGGTGGTGGTCATTTTCTGTCTTAAAATTAAAACTCTTTTTTTTTTTTGTTTAATCTAATAACCAACAATGGACTGATTGGTTAGACAGATAACCACCATGGTTGATAGTAGTTTTCACATATTTTTTTTTAAAGTTTTTGACACCATCTTTCATCAGAAAAAAGGACAATGCCAAACACATGCATATCAATATGATTGTGTGTGGTATAAACAAAGGAGGGTCAACTTCCCTGTATTTTTTTTTTTTTTGGTATTACGGTCAAAGGAGGTATTCAGACTAACTTACGCATTCCTCAACTATCCTTCTTTTTGACCTGGTTAAAGATAGACTATCTAAATTGATATAGAGAATTTATGAGTGATAAATCCCTCGTGACGATTTGACCAGAAGAAAATTGTCATATTTCAAATTTAAAATATCTAAATTTATAGCTCATTTATGTCTCTATTAAACAACTCCATTGGTTAACATCCCCACACAAAAGATTGATCCAAGTTCTTACAGGTGCTCAGAAAGGTTCATAAAGATAATAATAATAATAATAACCAAGGTGAGGTGATGCTGACTTCCATACAAGGACAAGTTTGGATGACTAAGTTGTTGATTTTCACATAGCAACAATTGACGCCCAAAAAAAGGGAAAAAAAAAAAAAGTGGGCAGAGTGGATCAAAGCTGAAAGCGCAATGTAGCAAGCTGAACTGATTACGGTTAAGTGATTGACTAAGTAGTTGATTTTCACATAGCAACAATTGACGCTTCTGGAAAACCATCAAAAATAGTTCACTGTTTTTGATTTTTTGCTCTTCTTTGACTGTTTGCTGAAATTTCCTGACAAACTCATCACTCATGCACGTTTGGATCAAATGGTATTGTGTCGATACCCAATCTATATTTATTTTAAAATGTCAAAAACATTTTTTTTTCAATTGTCCCCTCTAACAATGAAAGTATTACATTCTTAGTTTTTATTGATGTTTAATCCTTTTTTAATGATAATCTAAAATCAAGTTTAACCGTTCAATTTGTTAAACCCTACAAATTCTGCAATAAGTATTCATTCCTTCTTAAAGCCTGCAACCTTCTCTCCCATGTCAATTATGGTCTCAATGGCTCCCCTCTACGTTATGAAAACAAGAGTTTACAAGAAAATAATTATGAGGTCGTGGTTTATGCAGCAGGACCCTTACCTTTCCGTCCATCACATTGCACTCCCTTCACTTGTTGATTCATTGTGATCTTGTTTTTTTTTTTTAACTTTTTGGTCATTTTCTTCTTGATTTAATGTTCAATTTAACAGTTCTCAAATTTTAAGTTTTGATTTTGTTCTATTTCTTGAACAAAATAAATCAGCTGTGTACTCTTCATACACTTCACCTAGTATTTCTTGATTTTGTTTTTGTTTTATTTCTCTGTCCTACTTTTCCCAACAAAGGATTGAATAATAATAAATATATCAATTACTAGATTAATTATTCTATTTAATTACCTACAATATAATTAAGTCATTTTAATCCCTCCACAATAGCAATGCAACATCCTTTCATCTCTCTCGATGTACATTTAATGGGGTTTCATTCTGTACTTATTTTCTAAATTTTCTCTTTCTTGTATCCATATATTAGAAATCTCACTTTGTTTCTGGTATCTATTTGGAGGACATGACCGATTTACTTTTTAATTCTGTGTTGTAAATTAATTTCAGTTGATTTTTTAAATAAAGATCATTTGGTTTATTCATTAAAGTTTTATTCAAAGAAAATGGAAAGCGGATTCGATTCGAAAACCAGATGGTCTTAGATTCAACCATGGACAAATCTCTGATGGAGAGATGATTCACTATAGTTAACTAAACCTCAGTAGATGATACTACTAAAAACGCATCCCTTCATCTTCTCCCTCTTTGTTTTTTAATTACTGAAAATGCTCCCCTTCATATCTCTCTATTATGTACTTAACAATCGGATGTAATCTACTAAACAACACATGAAAAATGTAACAGGATTCTTAGTTGCTCTTAATATAATGATGTATGTTTGACAATGAGTAATTTTAGAAAAATCCTGAAATTGTTCGTGTAGAATGCACTTGTGCACCAAATTAGTAACAATGAAAGAGTAAGTGATTGCTTAAAGATATTATTTGACCAAAATACCCTTAATAACGTATGCACATACGTTTTATTGATGGTATTTACTGTTCTATTGTCCACCCGAAATCGACCATATCCCACCATCTTATTCCCGAATCAAATATGGCCTTAAATTCACTGTTTTTGCAGTGTATGAGGACGAGGCTTAGCCAACTACGACATCATTGTGTAAGTCATTCTTTACTTTAATGTACAATAAAAGCCAAGTATAGTGGTTATGGTTGACAATAATAAAAGCAACTTTGAAAATTAAAAACTTCAACTTTAAGAAATTCTAAAAGGCAAAAAGCTGCTTTCAAAGTTGATAGATATCTTTTAGAGTGGCCTTTCTATTAGTATCATCATGATGTTTTTAATTCCAGCTTTGTGCTGAGCATGTTTTATGCATGTAATGCCGTCTCAAACTTTCCAAAGTTTGACCTTTTCTTTAGACCTCATCTTTATCTTTGTTGGATTCAGAACAACCTCATCTCTTAGTCCCAAATCTAGTGCCCCAATTGTGTGTGTATTAGAGAGAGATGGTGACTAAAAAGGCTTAGAATTAGGTTGGGGAGTTTGCTCATGCTTTTTTTTTTAAGTTCAATGGTCAGGGATATTCGAATCAACTTACGCGTACCTTAACTAATCATTTTTCCAGTCTGGTCAAAGACAGACTATTTAAGCCGGAACTAAAATATTCATGAGAGATAAATTTCTCATGACTTAACCCTAAGAGATTGCTTAGTTTATGTATGTTAATAGACTAGGGTAGCCCGTGCAATATATTTGTTTACTATACTTATTTAAATGAATGATTAAAATGTTTATTATCATAAAAATGTATGCAGTAGCCTAAAATGTACGTTAGTGATTAAAATATTTATTGTGATTAAAAAATAAATTTAAATATGTTAAAATATTTACTGTGGTTGAAATATAAGCTAAATAAGATCAGTCGTTGGATCGTAACCATAAAAGATCTGAATCGTTGACGTTCTTCATGTCTTTAGCAAATGAATCTATAGAGGGGAAGACGGTGATAAAGGTAATTATCATAGATCAAAGCTTTCTTTCTTTTTATCGAATTTTTTTCATTTTGATAGAAACCAAAACTAAACATTGATTCAATCTTGATATTCTACTGTTTCAAGGTATTTTCATATGTAACGAAATTTTTTGAATTTTTTTTTAGATTGTTTCTCTTTTTTCTACCATATTTTTGAAATAATTAGAGGTAACTCATACCTGAAGACATGATGCAATATAAATAGTTATTAAAACTTGCTATGTTTTATATTATAAATTTCAAAATATTTTTAAACTAGTTATTTCCCATGTTTGAAGGCATGAAATAATAAAAAAAATTGTCAACATATTTGTATTCACACCCAAAATTAAACTACAAACATAGAAGATAGATAAATAAATTTAGGCACCGATTGTAATGGGGGTAAGCAGTAGTAGTGATGGTGGGCAACAGTGGTGATGGTGGGAGACAATGATAGTTGTGGTGGGTAAGGTGACGATCGTGGTGGTGGTAACAGCGGTGGGTGACAATGGTGATGGTTGTGGTGGTTTTTGAGTGACGATGATGATGGATGACAGTGGTGGTGGGACGACGACAGTGGTGGTGGGGGACAAGAAATTCTTTTAGGCGACAGTTTGATGGGTGATGACGAATAGTGGCAGTGGTAAGTGTGGTGAGAGTAAATGACAGTGGGTGACTGCAGTGGTGGGCGATGATAGGTGATGATTGTTGGTGGTGGTAGGTGTGATAGGGTAGGTGACAATGGCTAGTGGCGATGGTGAGCAACGATGGGTGGTGGTGGGTGCTGACGGTGGTAGTGAGATGGTGATAGTAATAGTAATAAATATAAGAATAACATGACGATGACGTTGGGTGATGACTATGGATGACGATGATACCAATCGGTGGTAGGTGACGATGATGGTGGTGGTAGTGGCAGTGGCAGTGGGTGGTGTGGGGGTAGTGGCGATGGTGGGGGGTGGCAGTGGTGGGTTGACGATGATGGTGGTAGTTGTGATGGTCATGGGGATGGTGGTGGGACAGTAGCCGTGGTGGTAAGGTGCGACGGCGGTGGTGATTAGGGTTGGTGGTGGTGGTGGTGGAACGATGGTGGTAGTGGTAGTGAAGATGGTGGGGGTGGTGTTGGTTGTAGTGGTGGACGGTGGAGGTAATGGTTATTGTGGTGGTGGTGGCAGCGGCGACGATGGTGGTGGTGGAGTGGTGGGTATGGTAGGGTGGCGATAGTGATTGTGGCTACGACAGTGGTGGTGGTGTTGATGACAGTGGTGGTGATAGTGGTGATGATGGTGAAGTGGTGGGCGTGATAGTGATAAAGGTAATGGTGGTACAGTTTCAAACACTACTTTTTTTTTAAAGTACTTATGAGAAATAATTTCTAAAAGTCATTTTAAAAAATAATTTCAAACATATCCTTAGGGACATATTTTTTTATTATTAAATTTAGAGTGCTAATATTAGCCATTAAATTAACTTTAAAATAAAATTTAAAACGATTTTAACTACGAATAGCAAAAGTTATTTTATTTATCTTTTGAGATTTAAATTATATTATATTTTATTATATATAATGTTTATGTTTCCAATAATAAAGGTGTGGATTCGTTACTTATTTAGACCTGTCATATAAATAATTTACATCTATATAATAAAGTAGTTTACAATTTAAATCTCAAAAGATAAACAAAATGATTTTTTATTCGCGGTTGAGATCGCTTTAAATTTTACTTTAAAGTTAATCTAACGGTTAATATTAAAACTCCAAATTTAATAGGAAAAAATAGGTCTCTAAGGGTATGTTTGAAGTAATTTTTTAAAAGTGTTTTTAGAAATTATTTTTCATAAGTACTTTTTAAAAAAAAATATTGTTTTGAACTGCTCCATCACTATCTCTATCATCACCACCACCCCCACTGCCGCCACCACTGCAACCGCCACCACAACTGCCACCGTCACCACCCCCACCACCGCCATCGCCACTGCCACCTCCACCACCACAGTTCCCACCAACGCCGCCACCACCACTACTATTACCGTCGTTGCCACCACCACCGCTGCTGTCGCCACCGCCACCAACATCGCCGCCACTACCACCACCGTCACCACAATTATTACTGTCTCTTACCACGACCCCTACCGCCCACTATCTCTCAACCCCACTATAAAACTGATGTTTAAATTCTTTTATTACTTCTTTACGTTTATTATTTAATTTTGAATATGAATACAAATATATTTATTGTTTATTATTTTTTATTACTCTGTAGCTTCAGACACATACAATAACTAATAACTAAATATGACATGGACATGCTAAACACTTCATATACATGGCAGTGGCACAAACTCAACACGAAGTCAACTCGAATTGGGTGATCCTTCCTTCGTCGTCTAGGGATAGCTGTGTTTTTCCTTCATCAAATACAAATAAAACTGCAAGTGGGAGTTCTTTGTTTCAGACCGTTGCTGCAAGCAAAAATATTATACTCACGGCCCCTATATTTTTTCATAATTGCTTACATCTAAGTTACTTACTTTAATTTTGGTTAAAGGACATAAACTATGGACCCCCTAACACGTTGACTTTTTGTTTGTTATTATGAACAAGAAGCTAGGCTGCAATGATAATACCCCCACATTAGCCAACTCACATGGGTATGGTTTCAAAAATAAAATAAAATAATAATACTCAAAATATAAATAACAATAGATTAGAGGTTGAATTTGAGAGATAATGTTATCTTTTTATTCAAGCATCAACCTGTGGTTTTATTTATTCATTTTCAAGGTGCAAAGATACTATGAGACTCCCCTTGACCTTTCTAGACAACTAGACAGGCTCTACTTGTATAGTTGACCTGCCATGCATCATGTACAAGTACAACCTCTCTCTCTCTCGCTAAATTTGTACTTCTACTTCACCCAATTTAGTTATCTAATCTAACATAGAACCACCCTTTTTAGGTTTGAGTAATCTAGATTTTTTGGAAAATCCCCTAATCAAATTTTTACTCATTCACAAGAAAAGGTGAATTACAATAACATTTGAATTCTCAACTCAAGATGGTTAGAATGTGCATAATCAATAGGTGTCGGAGTTGCTATACCCGAGTGTTATTTGGCTTGTGCTTGTTACACCATGGTCAATCATTTTAGTCAGAGTCAAATTCTTCACCTTGCAAACCAAAGTTGAACATATCCACAAACACATTCTATGAATTTTACAAATTAATGAACTCCTAATGAAATTTGTTCTCGAGTCAATCTCCTTAGTCTTTATTGATTTGAGGATCTTGATTTTTTAGTTCAATGAACAAATTGATCTAATTATGGACGAATTAGAATTGATGTTTTATTAAGATTATGCTCACGCTCAAGATAGAGTTTCAATTTATGATCGAGATCAAATCAATTATTGTTGACAATGACTTCGTCACAGATGAGATTGCTCGACAAAAGCTTTTTTATCAGTCATCGCAGGCCGATGTCAACACCCTTAGAAGGTAATGTGAATATTCTCCTAGTATTTTACAATTATGATTGATATCTTCAACTAAATAAAGCTATCACCCATCAAAATTTTTTGTTTCCTACGTCAAGCAAAGTTAATAGATGCTACCCTAGAATAACACCGAATGCTAAATTTATCGCTCTCTCCTATATTCCTCAATACATGTATAGAGAGTGTAGAATGTGAGAGAGAGAGAGAGCAGACTCCTTTCTTTCTTTGGCATCAATCAAAGATGGAAGATGGGTTAGCACTTAGGGATGGCCACCGGCCCACCGTCCACTTGGCCTAACACCAATTGGACGGCCATTGATCTTCCCCCAACCTCCCAAAGAAAAAAAAAGTTCACGAACAACTGATAGAGAGCTGGCAGCTGTGTGGTCAAGAGAGGGGAGGATGAAGGAGGTTGAGGTACTAGCCAGAAGGAAAGGGCAGGGATAGGAATGGACTGGTCTGGGTTGGTTCTTTTACAATTTTCTTATTTTTTATAACAATAAGAGAGAAATTTGAAAAAAAAAATGAAAAGGAGAGAGAGAGGGAGAGAGAGAGAAGAACAGAGAACATAGGAGAGATTTCAGTCATATTTCATTGATAATGTGAGTTCCAGTGCGGACCATTAGCTCGAACTAAGGAGAACATGCATTCTAAACATATACCATCTATATAGGAGTACCATTGAGGAGTTGTTACAAGTATAAATATCTATAGGAATAATTTTGAGTAAGGATTAAAACATCGTTTTAACGTTGAAACGGTTTTCGTTTATGAAGAGATCAAAATAAATCAATACTTAAATTAAAATTTCAATGTTTGAAAGTATTTTGAAATGTTTTGAGATGTTTTAATATATGTTCATCGGAATGTTTCGAGATATTTTAAAATGTTTAAATATATTTAGACCAATATTTTAAAATATTTTGAAAATAAATTTTTAATTTTTTTATCCATTTTTATTATGTTTCCGAAAATGTCTCCAAAATATATTTTTGAAATATTTTCATTTCGTAAGTGATCAAATTGAGCAAATTTTGACATGATACAGTTTCTATAATTTAAAAACACGACACAACAATCATTTTTAACTGTGAGTCATAGTATTTATTGAGACCCATTATATATTTAATGGTTGTAATTAATCGAATCAGTAAATCAAATTAACATTTTAAGTTCGAATACGATTTTCCTTTGCAAAATTTGATTTTGCATGTATGTATTTTCTGGGTTCACAATATCTAAAGATGGAGCACCCACCATGAGATCACCACTCTAATAATCATAGTTTAATTTGACTTTGTAAGTGTGGCCTATAAATATACGAAGTCAGAGGATGAATAGCCTTACCTTCTCCCAAAGCTTGTGTTTCAATAAGTTAGAAGACATGAGATCTTTCCCTGCCTTCATCCTCCTCCTCTCTCTCTTCTTGGTAAGCTAAACCCCAAGCTTCTCTCTCTTCCTTCTTACATGAATCCAATGTTTTCTTTTAAAATATATGCACCTAGGCAAGCCAAATGGATCTTAATTGGAGTCATCATTAAAATGAGTATTTTCATAGTTTAATGGAGTGATCCAACATTTTATATATTGATGTTTACACTTCTCAAAGACGGGTTTCATCACAATGGTAAGATTATTTCATTGTGATCCGTGCATTATAGATTCGAGTTATAAAAACAACCTCTTTGTATGTAGTAAGATTGAATATGTCTGACTCTCTCCCGAACCCGTAATGGCCGAAAACTGCTTTTTTATTAGATTCTGTATTCTGATCATATATGATTCTCTCTCTTGTTTTGTCAGTTTGCCAACCTCAGCAATGCAAGAAAAGAGCCTGGAGAGTACTGGAACAGCATAATGAATGGTGAACCCATGCCTAAAGCAATCAAAGACCTTCTTCTCCATCAAGATCCAGCTTCTCAATCCACAACCTCTGAGACTATGAACCTGAAACCTTTCATCAGGGATTTCGATAGCAGGCCAAGTGTAATAATCTATCACACCCATATCAGGACACCAAGGAGGGTTGTGAAACCAAGCCAGATGACCATCAATCCTCTGTTAGACTAAATGTTCCTCTTATATATATATGGGTTTTGGTAATTAGTACCTTATTGGGTAGTGAATTTTGTGATTAATCTTTATGATTGATCATGTTTATGTACTTTTGAAGTCTTTTTGGTCATATTTGAAAGATATCAGAAACAATCAGTGCTCTTCTAGAATCTATTGACCGTAAAATTTCTTCGAGCTTATGTTTAGAAGATTAAGCTAAAGAGATGTTATGGTGGTAAATTTTGACTCGATACAAGCCCGATTCAAATCCGACCTAACTTAAGTAACACGAAAAAGAATGAGTTGGGATAGTGTGATCTAATAATATTTACTTTTCAATGGAATTAAATGAGTTTTGATTTTGGTTTTGGTCGAACATAGGTGAAGTGAAATACATTATTTTTTTTTTCAATTTTTGGGCAACTAACGTGTGATGGGTTTGTTTGAGAAAAATATGTCTTAATTTTATGATTTATGTTTAATGGGTTACACGGATACGATACGGGTACGATATAAAGTCAACACAAGCATGTAACGACACAACATGACTATAATACAAAAATTAAAAAACAAACACGACGTAACAATTTAATTACCGCCCCTGGTTTTAACTCTATTTATATGAAACTCAGATAAGATTCAAGAAAAAAAAATAATAATAATAAGATGAAATCTTACCGACAGCCAAAAACACCGATCAGCAAGCTTGACGGAGACGTTTTCCGACCGGAAAGCCGCGAATATATTCCGACAAAACCCAACCAGAAATTGTGCCTTCAACCTCCACAGTTTTGACAGTCTACACAGCACTGTGCTACATATATATATCATCAACCAGAATACAAGAAAGCAATGGTTTCTCTCAGTAACAAATGCTGAGGAGGTGCATAGTATTTAGACTGTTAAAAACCCTGCACTGCAGATCTGTTCTTTTTTGTTTTTTTGTTAAGTAATTATAATTATAATTATGATAAATGAATTGGTAAGTAATGTCCAAATTTATTGAATAAAACGTTACAAATGAAATCTAATCTGTAACTGACATTTATGATTCAGTTTCTTACAGATTTGTTCACCAAACGGCCTCTCTGTTTTGTGGACGCTCTTTAAATTCTGCAGCTGCGTGTGCTTTTTATTTTTACAGATTTGTTCTATTTTTGGTTATCTCCAAAGGGTCAAAACCCGTAGCCCTATCTACTGGTATGTGGCTCTGTAGGGAGGCCTGTGGGCCACTGGGCTTTTGGGCCAGCCCATGGGCCTCAGTTTTTGTAAACATTGGTGATACCATTTGTTGAAATTACATCTAAACACAAACTCGAGAACCATCCTAACAACATTCATTTCACATAACCACTTTGTTGCACTAGGAAACACACTCATGCCCAAATCCATTGACAATAATCAACACACGCCATAATCATATCTAAAAACATAGCAATTAAACACAAGATATTGAGATACGAATGATTAAGAATAATTATACGACTATATCAAAGTAGGCAACGAAATCCACACAAGATGGTCTGCTGGGAAGAAATGGCACACCCCAGGAGTCCCTGCTTCAATTCCGAGCACACGGAAAGACACATGATTCCGGCTCCATTGAGAGGTGTCAATGTGACAAACAACAACAGCTTCCACCTTATCTCCATTCTCCCCACCTAATAAAATCTTAAACACCTTGTTCTTACTTGCTTGGGTGTGACAGTAAAAAACTGCATAAGGGTAAGGCATAGTATGACATGCCACCATTTTGTAAGCTGATATTTCTTCGGGATTTTCCAATATGGTATAGTTCTGAAAATGGGTGTTAGATTTGGTGAGATGAGTGGTGGATAGAAATTTGATTTGGCTCTTGATCCCGAAAACGCTTCTTGTAAAATCAGTCATGGATTCATAAGAGGTGGCACAGATCTTGGTCTCTCCTTTGATGGGGTCAGCCTCACATTCTCTAAGTGTATTTTCCATGGCTTTGGCTTGTGGAGAGTTTGGAGAGATGGAGAAGAATGGAAGAAGATTTGGGAGTTCTTTTAAAGAGAAAGCAAAGGTCTCCGCTTCTTCTTTGGGCAACAAATGAGGAGATGAAGAAGGGTCCCTTTTGGGGAAATGGATAGGCATTGTTTTGCCTAGTTTCAAATCCTTGATAAGAAAGAACACAATTAATGAAGGGTCTATATGATCATGGACATGATCTCTATGTGTCCCTCCATGAGCATCATTGTCTTGTTTATCAGAAATTGAAACAGGGTCATCTATAGCATGCTGCAAAACATTTGCCTTATCATGGACATCGTTTTCATCGTTGATATGAGCATCCATGCTATGAAGCCTCAAGACATTAATGCCTCCAGGGATATCTTCAACTGCAGAATCATTAGAAGTATTAATCTCATTACGTTGATGATTGTCATCGTCGTGGTCATTCTTGGGGTTTCCTAACATGATATGCCCTTTGGTGTCATGCAGCTTCACATGTTTGTTCTTTTGTGTCTGCTTTGTTAAATCTTTCCAATGTTCTTGATCAGCTCCATGAACACACTGCAAAAAAAATAAAAAAATTAGTAGCATAAAGAGTTCCAAATCTATAATCATGGTTTAGCAGATAAGCTTTTCTTAGATTTAATAAAAAAAGAGTCAAATTTGTCATACTTTTCAAGAATTTCAATGGAAAACTGATACTAATTGGAGTAATTCAGGCTAAATACAATGAAAAAATATTAGAAATGGTTCGCGTTGACACTGAAATCTGCGTAAATTCTAAGATCTCCGACAATATGTCCTCCATGATGTTCAAAAACCAAAAGCTACACTTTAAATCAACCACTTTGATCATATATTAACTTGAGAGAAACGTTAAACGACTATGGTTACTGCTAATGCAACAACAATTGTCATCTTCGCCATCATGAGCGTCCGGGTAGAGTACCAAAAGATGATCATTTAATGAAGGACATGAGTAGAGGGATTACCAGTAAAACCAGTAGAAGAAGGAAGAGACTCCGAGTAGCAAGTTTAAGGCCCATCTTTCCTCTTTTGCTTGGAATTACTTTCTAAGTCTTTCTGAGAACTGGGCAAAACTCACCTTACTTCAGTAAGGATAATCATGAACAAGTTTCTCTATTATTGTGGGATATTCAATATTAAGTCATCAAGCCAAAGACTGGACCTCTTTGAGTGAAGTAAAGGCCCTTTTTCTACGAAAAAGCACAACCAAGCAATCAATCTACTGTTTGAATAAGCTATTCTATTAAATGTTAAGTACTGTTGAACAACTTGTAAAATTCTTGTGTTTTTTTGCTCCTTCTAACAGCAAAATTTATTAAAGGGGAAAAACTACGGTCCTGGAGTACCGAAATTTACAAATAAATAAGGGTTTGTACAACTCAGTTTACAATAAGTTATGACCCGATGAGGGCAAAGCTATATCTTAAAAAAAGTTGGAGCCGATCTGTGATATCCCAAAATTCGAGTGTATGTAATTACCCGATTAATCACCTATCAATCTACGGAATACCCGTAGATATTATATAATTCGTTATCACGCCGTTATGCCCTATTTATCGAGATACATAACTTAATGAAATTTTGACAGAGTTTTTGTTGTACGAAAAATTTTACTCAAAACGTAACCTGTGTAACCATATAACATTGACCACACCAGGTTTATTCATCTCTACTCTTTAGCACAGTGTCAAATACTACTATAATCATCATCATTGCGTACATTCATTCATAAAAGAATAAATGTCTCAAAAGAGTCTTTTATACATGTCTTTTAAATATAAACAAATTTTTGTTACAAAAATTACACAAGGCCAAAAGTAAATATAAACAAGGGACTACGATGTCTAAAGAAGAGCCACAGACCGGCTCTGCGTCAAAGCGGGCCCATGGTCTCGCCTTCGGTGGACGTCTGTGCAATACCTGAAAAGTGTTCTCATAAAGGGTGAACCAACGCTCAATAGGGTAACTCTTATAGAGAATACCTTTCAACCTAAATACATATGAAAATATCACTTACAACAATCATTTCGTGCAATCATTCAAATATGTCTATTATGAATAAATGTCATAAATCATGTCATGTCATGAGATGAGACTCACGAACACAATACCAACACCGAGCCCCATCCTGAGCTCCTACAACACATGCAATGTCATACATATATATCCGGGCATTCCAAGTCCCGTTATTAGTGTTATGTATACTCAATGACTAATTAATTTATTTTCTTGTGTCTTTATGAGGAGATAATTTATGGTATTACATTAATGGGACACCAACCATCAACGAATTCTCAGGACATCCCACCTGCGATTTCATTTTGACCGTTACACTTTTCTGGAATTTCACCTCCGAAAAGTGTATAAACCAAGTAAGCGGGTCGTGTATCCGAGGGAGAATCTACCCCTTCTTGCTATCTCCGACACATATATCCATTTAATTTTTCGTGTGACTCAGCCGGACCTTAGTGCGACTTTTCTGAGCCCACAATCAACCACCTATGTGTTGATTGATTTCATCTCATGCACACACTCCCACCCATATCAATGCCCATGAATGTAATGTAATCTATGCATAATGGAATTTCAATGTGCAATTACCTTTGGTACCATTTACAATATCTATTACATAAAGAATACAATATAATGACATTTTCGACATGACAACATGTTTATTAATTCTATAAACATAAGCACAAGTCCACCACAATAATTATATGCTAAAAAATCATTTAACATACATATTATTCCATAATCACATAACAAGCTAATAATTTTATTAAACTTGATATGTCATTTAAAACATAAAACAATGGTAATGTACAATTAGCATGCTTTAAACTACTAACATTAACTTACACCAAGTTAATCATAATAGGATTTTCTAATTACAAAGTTAATTAGAAATCATATATTTGACACACTAGTTACACTAGTCAAGATCTAACATGTGATATATACTCACAGCCTACCCATTTCATATGTCATATTTTAGATTGAAAGTAAATCTAAATAGGGAAAATTCTACTTCTC